GAATAAACTTTCCACCTTACTAGATCAAAAAATAAATTATTATTTTCAGGCCGAAAATTAGGCATGGGCATTTTACCCAGACCGAAGACCCGAACCGGAACCGACCCAAAAATACTCGACCCGAACCCGACCAGAAAATTTACAAATACTTATTGGGTCTAAATTTCTTTTACCCGAATAGACCCGGACCGGAAAAGAACCGACCAGAATAGACCCGGACCCGAAAAGAACCGACCCAAATAGACACCTGATAAGAACCGATTTGTACCCGACTTATAAACATGTATATCCAAAACTATTATTTTTGTGTTATGTTTTATATCTATACTATTTTATAATTTAGTTGAAATATATTTTGTTAACAATATTTATTATTATTTGTAACATTTTAAGTAATATAAAGTTTTAAAATGTAAAATTTAGAGTTTAAAAATGTTTTCTTTAATTATTAATAGTTTAAATTAAGTTATTTTATAAAATTTTAGATATATATGAAAAATATTGACTGAATTTGAGTGAGTTTGAACATGGTATGTATTTTTTAGATTCTAAATACCCGGACCCGATCCAGATCTGATATGGATTCGAAAATTACGGGTATTTTATAGGTATTGAAATTATAGATCCGAACCGACCCGGACCCGACAAAACCCGACCCGGAACCGACCCGAAAAATCATAGGTACCCATATGGGTCTAAATTTCCAAGACCCAAAAGATCCGGACCCGACAGGATCCGGCCCGAACCCGACCCGAGGACCCGGCCCGAACCCGACCCGAGGACCCGGATGCCCAGGCCTACCGAAAATTTAATATTTTTAACAAAACAAAATTATCTATTACTCCCTCTGTTTTATTATAAATGTCACTTTACAGCTGTGCACACGGATTAAGGAAACAATTAATTTTACATATTTCCTATATAAAAACACAGTTACCCGTACACCTAACCATATTTTAACCAATAGAAAAACAAATTACATAATAAAATTAATAAATTTTGCATTGAAAACCGAAAACGACACTTATTTTGTAACGCAAAAAAATCTCTACAACGACACTTAATATGAAACGGAGGGAGTATTAATCATTTATTTAAATCATGTACTTTAAAACATGTTAATGTATTTTTTATTTTAAATAACAATCACTTTTTTTTTGATAAATTTCAATGGTAAATTTTAAATAATTTATTGTTTTATTTTTCTTAAATAATTTATAGATTTAAAAAAAATATGTAAAGCAAAAACAACAACTAACTCTAAAAACTAAAATCCAAACCAAAAGCTGAAAACGCAGGTTATATTTTTTGCTTTTGTTTATTTACAAAATAAAATATTGCAAATTTTTTTTAAAAAAAAATTGTCATATTTTCAGCTTTAAATTAGATGTTTGATTATTTGAGATTTGTTTATTGGTAATATCAGTTCAAACTAACTCAGCGGGACTAAAAATTAAAAAATTCAAACCAAAACCTGAAAATCAAAAATATAAACTTAAAACTAAAAACCAAAATTTTAAAACAAAATCTAAAATTAAAAAATGAAACTAAAAACTAATTAAAAACAATCATCACCACAAACTTTGGTGAATTGATTTTATACCAAAAAATTATTTAAATTAAGACAAAACTCAATTATATAAATTTTTATCATAAAAAATTTCCGCGCTTTCAAGCGCGGATCAAAATCTAGTTAATATAATATTTTAAAGCCAGTCTCAAATAAAAATCAATATATATGATAAGCCCCTCGGTCTAGTTTATTATTTTGCGATCAAGACTATAGAGCGGAGTTATTATTTTTCCATCAAGCTTATAGAACGGATAGTCGTCTTTTTTAACCACTACTTGTTTCTCCCATGCTCATGCATGGATACAAAATTTTCATAATAATTGATAAATATTTTCGTTTGTTTATAAGTTTTAAGTTATTTTGTACTATATATGTATAATAATAATATATTATGTATCATTATGTTCTCATCTTAATTAGTTATGTGATTTCACATATTCTATTTTGTATTATTAAAATATTATTTTTGATATGTTCAATAACATCTATTATTTTAAATTAAATAATCGTTTTTACTATGTTAAAATTAGATTATTATTTTCTAAAATTCATATAGTTCTTTTTTACAACAATAAGTAAAAATTCATATAGTTCAGTTCATCCTCTTATATTTTAAAATTTTGTATAAATTTTTATAAATTATTATAGAAAAACAGGAAACTGAAATACTAAATAAGAGTTGCATTAATAAACATAAATTGTAATATTTTGAAATTCATACACACTAAATCATAATTGTTGGTTGATTTTATTTTTCATATTAAGAATTGTTGGTTATTCATATTTTAGAATATTGGATTGTATCGGTTTTCTTGAAAGGATCACAATTTTTTCACAATTAGACTAAAATTAGAATATCTTACTAATTAGATTTTGTTTAATTTTAGCTTAAGATGATGAATATTATTTTTTATTTTTTTATAATTGGATATATGTTGTTTTTGATAGAAAATAAAAAATTAAAGTGTTCAAATGTTTTTTTATAAAAATTCTAATCATTTAATCATAAATATTTTTTAATTGGAAATATAATTTATCTTGTTGCACACTCACATTTTTGAATATTTATTTGATTTTAGAATAATGATAGGATATAATAATTTTTCAGAAAATAAAGCTATTAAATAATCATCTGTGTCGTTTAAATTTATTTGCTTATTAATTATTGGATCAAAAAATAATTTATAGTACACATATTATTATATCTTGGAAAATAATGTCTAAATTATTCTATTAGCAATTTATTTTCGAAAGTTATGGTTTATATATTTATAAGCATATATTTGTACAATTAATAGATATTTTTGTTGTTGTTTTAGCAAACATAGTAAATAATAAAACTAAAATTCGTTTTATATAAAAATTTTATCTGTTTATAAATCTTTCCTTTTTAGCATTTATGTGCTTTAGTATAAAGGAAAATTAAATAAAAAATTTAATCACAGTTTTATTAAGAAAAATGATTCCTAAATAATTGTTATTAATGGTAATCATAAATGATATTTAGTTTATTAAGAGTGTCTATGTAATTAATGATTGTGAGAATTAACGTGAACTCGAGAAATAGGAAGCTAACTTTTCAAATAATATTACAGAGATAAACGAAATATAATACCAAAAAAAAACTATTTTTGTTTTAGTTGTCTTCTATAACCTTCTTATATTTCAAGGGAAATTGCACCGTATAGCGGTCAAACAAACTATAATTAAGAGAGTAGCCAATTTCTACCTTTTCTCTGTCCCTTTGAAATATATGTAATATTGATGTATTGCCCTTGGAAGCAACCAGAAAAACCTGCTAAATAAAAAATTAATAAAAAATATACCTTTGAGGAAAACAGGCATCGTGGCTTTTGGAGAACGACACTCTTCAAGACAGCAACTTTTAGTTGGTAAAAGAGGAGAAAATTGAATAGTTTCACATCAGATCCTTTCCTCTTCTTTGCCCCTACTCCACTCCAGTGAGATTTGAGCCACCATCAAAGCGAACCGGAGATCCAATCAGCGACTGCAGTGAAATCAGCCCGGCAAAAATGTTTTCTATTTTTCTGTGGCCATTTTTCTCTGATTCCCCGACATCCCTTGTAGAAAACAAAGTAATTTACGAACATGACAGTTGCGTCGGTTGGTTTCTAATCGGACGGTGATACCGTTTACCGGAGATTCAGTAACCTTCGGTAAGTTTGGGTTCTTCAGTTGTGTTTAATAAAATAAAGTTGACTGTTTTACGTCTCCTTTCCCGACCAATATTCAGTTGTAAATATCTTGATCGTTGAGGGTCCACTTTTATTCTCTGTGTTTCAACGTGATTAAACATGAAACTATTCTATTTATCGGAAATTCTATTCAATCTTTCTATTCCATTTGTTGCATGTAGTCGTTGTTATACCAACCAATAAAAATTGTTTTTCTGGCTGTCTTGCAGATATGTTTTACTATACTATATTTTGCATGTTACTATTCTATTTTATGTTATAGGATTTAGTATTCTGGGATTGGAAAGGGGGAGGTTTTTTGGATTTTGAAATCGACCGTCTTGAGGAAGACGAAACCGAAGCGACGGAAAAATTAATGACGGTAGGCCAAATGAATGTGAATCGACATGTCTGAAAAAGAAGAAGAATTGAAGAAAATGGGCTCGTCGTCTATACTATATTCGGTGAAAGAAAGTTACCATATAGGGTACCGTACTATTTCAATTTATTTTGTTCCATTCTATTTGGTTTTAGTATTTATATTTGGATTTAGGATTTATATTTGAATGTAGATTTTCATGATAAGAGTTTTGTATTTAGAGGTTGGGATGGAGTTGGGATACGGTATATTATGTAGGGGTCGGGATTAAATTGATGTGCATATATGAGTTACATATTACATAATACGTACATCTCCAACATATACTGGAATATATACTATTAATTTTTATTATTCTATTAGTGTTTAGTAGTTTGAGCTTGTGGGTGTTTTTGAATTCTATACTATTTTAACAATATAGAATAAAATATTTGGTGTATTTGAAAGTGTGGTTGTTATGCATGTGACGTGGATGACTTATTTTCTTTTAGAAGTCAACAAATATTATATATGGTGGCCATACTTTCTTTAGTCGACGTCATCTCTCTATCTCTAAGTCACCGGTAACTTATACAAATAAAAGGTAATACCGACACAATTGAAACACAATTGTTAGATAATACATTATGTCAAAATCAAAGCTATATACTTAATTTCTTTCCTAAATTTGGCCATTTCGCAAATTATCCCTATTTTCAAACTGTGTAAAACATCGAACAAAAAAAATCGAGATATGTAATGACAAAGTTCAACGAATCCATTACGTAAAATCTCAAGAGATATCAGACACAGATTAAAAAAGAAGGCAACCAAATTAAAGCAAAACGAATAGGAAAAAACACATTTTAACACACTAGACAAGTTTCTCGTTGTTGCTATTGTTGTTTCCTTGCCATTTCCAAACAATATCTTTCAAAGACGGCTTAAGCTCACCATCACAAAACTCTTTATACTCCATTGTATCACCTTTACTCTTCTTAAACTCAACCATATGAAAACTCTTTGTCACTTCAAATATCTCAACATCAATCGCCAGTTGTCCTTTTCTTCCCTCTCTTCTATCTTCCATCTTCACTCCTACATTGCTTTTCTTCAAATCAAATCTCTCACTACTCGTAGCTATCTCTTCAAATTTCGACACTATCTCTCTCGCTTCCTTCTTTGTTGTAAACATTGATTCTGATCTCTCTTCTTTCTCAAACAATCCCGAGAGATCAAATCCTTGAGACAACGATGAGATTAGGTCAAATGCATTGTAACACATCGGCTGCAAAGCAAAGGCTGCTTGCACGTCGCTGATTAGCGATTCGATCTGATTACTATCAGGCGATTTAGGCGTTTCAATCTTCTTGAAGCCTTTTTGAAACCAAGAATTCTCCATGATTTTTTCAATCTTTATTCTTGAATTAGGGTTGGGATCAAGAATTCGAGATAGTAGCTTCTTGACCTCAGGAGGGAACCAGTTTGGACATCTGAATTCCCCATTCTTGATCTTCCGATACATTTCGACAAGATTTTTTTGATGAAACGGAAGAAAACCAGCCAATAACACATACAACACAACTCCACATGACCAAACATCAGCTTTGTCTCCATCATACCCTTTCTTGCAGATCACTTCAGGCGCCACGTAAGCAGGTGTTCCACATGTCGTGTGAAGCAAACCATCTTGTTTCCTCGACTCTCTCAACGCGCTTAGCCCGAAATCAGATATCTTCAAATCTCCATTTTCGTCTAGAAGCAGATTCTCTGGCTTGAGATCACGGTGGTAAACTCCACGGCTATGGCAATAATCGATTGCTCCAATCAATTGCTGGAAATATTTCCGAGCAATATCTTCTTTAAGCTTTCCTTTAGAGACTTTGTCGAAAAGCTCACCGCCTTTAACATACTCCATCACAAAATAGATCTTTGTTTTGCTCGCCATGACTTCGTGGAGGAAGACTACGTTTGGGTGGCGAACGAGACGCATTACTGATATTTCTCGTTTGATTTGATCGATTAATCCGACTTTGGCGACTTTCTGCTTATCTATTACTTTGATTGCTACGTTTTCTCCCGTTTTGAGGCTACGTGCGTGGTACACTTTCGCGAATGTGCCCTTACCTAGAAGACGGCCTAACTCGTACCTTTGCATCAGGACAATGCCGTTTTTATCCATTGGTTTGAGTTGTGGTTTCTGGGAGAATAATCTAACTTGATAAAGAACAGAGGATGAACGGTTGAATAATTTCTTTCTGGAATGTTTCTTCCATAGATTAAAGAGAGAACTCAGATTCTGGAAATGTTCATGAGAGAAAAAAAAACACAATTTTAGTTATTTTTTTCTATGTATCTCAGAATCTGCACATATAAAAATAGTATTTCTAAAAAATGCAAAACGAAAATATCTACATTTGTGTGGTTCTAGTGATTGCTTGAAGTGGGCTCTCCTAAATATATGTAGACAGATGTAGTTTTTATGCTCTCCTAATTATAGTGGAAGAGACAGATGATAATATTCCAAAATGCACACATATATAGGGCTGGACAAATAAATCAAACCAATACTCCGATCCAAACCCGATAAAAATGAATCCGAACGGATCCGAATCCGATATGAATACCAAATGGATCTTGTTTTACTGTATTTCGGATTATGAGTTTTATCCAAAACGAACCCGAACTTAAATGGATATCTAAAAAAGATCTGAAACTTTAAAATTCTAAAACAACTTGTAATATACTCAATCTCAATTTACAATATGTAGCCAAGACACACTAAAATATTACCGAGTACCTAAATAATTAGTTATTACATGAATAATTAACACAAATACTTAGTCTAATATATATATTTTAATTTGGTTAATTTAATGTTTTATGTTTGGCATTGCATTTGATTTGAAGTTTTGTTATGAATTAATTTGTTTTGAAGTTTAAAATATTGATTTTTTAAGTGTAAAAAGTGTTTCTCACATTTATAGAATTGTTAGTTGTTAACTTTAATTTTTAATGTTTCATTAGGTATGATTTTCATTCTATAAGACTTTAGTTTGTCATGAATTATGATATGTTTAATGTTGTTACGTATAATTATACGACAAGTTTTGTAGCGTTGATAGAAGAGTTTCTTAAATTTTTTGAAGAACAACAATATGGTTTGAGGAAGCTAAATAAATAAATTTTGTGAAAGGATTGAAAATATAATGAGTTTAATCAACTATAAATTAGCATTTTTATAACTGATAACTCGATTAGTAACCAAAACCAAAACTATTTCGGATTCAACCGGATCTTGGACATGTAACTAAACCCGAACTAAACCCGACTAAAACTCCGAACCGAATCCGACCCAATTTCATATAATATCCGAATGGGCTAAAATTCATTAACTCAAAAACCCGAACTAAAACCCGATTGACACCCCGATTGGCGAGCCCTATACATACATATAATATTTTCTTGAAGGCATTCCAAAGTATATTTTTGCGGGTATGTTCTAGATTTGTGAGATTGATGTATAGTTAAATACTATATGGTTTTGAATCGTTGCCCATAAATATTGAGATGGTTGAAATTGTCACAAGACATGTTTTGATTTGAAAATAGAATAGGCTGAGAAATCTTGGATTTGTTAGTGCAGTGAGGTCAGAGTAGAAGTGTAGAAATAAACAAGACACAAGTTTTCTCTTTTCGAATTCACTAAAACAAGAAAGTCTTACACCAATATTTTCTATTACAAGAATCCTTTAGGATTATACCAATCCTAAGCTAAAACTCACCCTAGAGTCTAACCTTTGCTTATCAGGATCACCTAAACCCGGAACTAAATTTCCCCTGAATTTAGACTTCAATCTTCCAACACTCTGGAAGTACGTCAACAACTACACCAGCAACTAACACATAGCAGCAACACCAAAAGCTTAATCACACAAGCACAAAAGATCTCTCGACTTTTCTTTTTCTACAAAGACAATTTTCTTCATAGAGACGTCCTCCCTGTATAGATACCAGAACTTGCTCCCCAAGTTCTTCCAAAACAACTTAAGCAGCTTTCCTTTTTCTCTTAATGAATAATTCACTTGCCTTTTCCTCTTCAAGTAATACATTTATCTTTAATGTAAATACCCTAATAAATATACTGCTTCTTTTCCAAGTTTGACAAGCCCACGAACATTACAAACCACGAACTCCAACCAAGCCCATCTTATGACACACACATGTACTAACTCATGTAGTACTTCACGAACTGATACAGAATATACATCTTCAATCTCTCCCTTTTGACTATGCATGTGCAGTCATAATAGCTAGCTTGAAAAACACGTCTATCCTCCCTATGAGTCACATCATGGTAAAAAATTAATAAGAAGAATGATATCCTTCAAAAGGTGGATGTCATCCCATTTCACCATCTCCATAGTGATCAAATCTCCTAGACCACGCATTCCCACAAGAATAGCATATATGACCATGACACCGCATACCATAGCCTTGTTCCATCTGATTCCTTTCCCTCAACAACTTGAAACACCTTGGCATATAATGTGCCCAACAACACCACGGTGATGACAAACATGCCTAAACTTTCGTTCAAATGCCCTATTAGAATCAGAAACATTACCCAAAGTAGTCACTGTAGCAGTACGTGTAGCAGTACGTGTAGCAGTACTCGTAGCAGTCGCATTCTTCACATCAGTTGCAGCCTTCACTGCTGTCTTCTCGTTTGTTGCATTCCAGCAAACACCTATATCTTTGGTTTTTGTAGCAGACGTAGCTTCAACCTCAATTTTCTTTCTGATACAAAAACACTTTCAGCTTTAGAAGATTGACCTTTGAATCCAAGACCACATCTATCACTTTGCCCAATGTTGAGAAGATGATCCAACTGATCCGTCCCATTATTCAGCATCATCAAACTTTTCTAGGTCTCTGCAAGTTGAGCACAAGTCTGTCGTGCTTATTCTTCTTTCTCTGAAGCATACTTAAGTGCTTCAGCCACTTTATCTTCTAGCTTGACTTTCTCTTTAGTCAACTCTGAATATGTCTCAACCATCTTGAACCAATGCTCATACAGCTTCTCACGATTTTTAGCAAGATCAAAGCTTCCATCATCATCATCATCATCATCATCATCATCATCATCATCATCATCATCATCATCATCATCACTTTCAGCACCAGCATCACTTCCACATGAAGACCTTGACACAGACGCTGACGCAGATCCCCCCGCAGATTTTATCTTAGAACCAGACTCCAAATTTGTGAACGCCACCAAGTTCTTTATCTCTTCACCATCATCTGAATCAGTATCAGATTCATTCTTGACGCCAGTCTTCTTCTTTTTCTTCAATAAGTTTGCACATTCCTTTCGAACATGCCCAAATCCATTACACTCATAGCATTTTACCTTTGATGATGATCTACCTGAATCACTTCTTCTTCCACTCTTTATCCTATCTTCTATTTTCTTCATATATCAAGCAAAACTTCTTACCAGCATTCCCATAGGATCTTCAGAAGTTGAACTTTTGAGAGCAATTCCATAAGGATCTTCTTTCTTCTTATCCTTATCACTACTCTTATCTTGATCTCCATATGCCTTGCTCAACTCAAAAGCTTGAAGAATCCCAACAAACTTATCAAAAGCCATCTCATCCAGATTGTGAGTTTATTCAACAGCAGAGATCTTTGACTCAAACTTTGATGGCAACGATCTCTTCAGCTTCTTCACCAGCTTCTTGTCCTTGTACTGCTTTCAAAGTGTAAAACATTCATTCGAAATGTCACACAATTTAGCACCAAACCAAGCCACAGTTTCTTTTCATCTATTCTCAGATTCTCAAACCTTGATGCTAACATATCCAGCTTGGTTCGCTTGACACTTGTAGTACCTTCAAATATATTCTCCAATGTCTTCCAAGCCTTCTGAGCTGAAGCACATTGAGAAATCAACTTAAAGTAGCTTGCATGAATAGCACTGTAAATCGCAATCTTGGCCTTAGAGTTCCAATTTGAAGCCTTTTTCTCTGCAGCAATCCACTGATCTCTTGGCTTCAAAACTTCAACCTTCTCATCATTAAGCATCACCGGATGACTCCAACCATCCTCAAATCCAACAGTCTTCATCAATACCACTGATAAAGGCTTGCATGTGTACCTTCCAATATCCATAATTGGATGAATCAAGACATGGAGGTTTTGTCATAGACGTTCCCTCTTGATATGCCACCATCAAAAACTCTGTCCGTCTTCATGAACCAGTTTCTATCCTCACCCTTCAAGATCTCACCAGTAACTTAGGTGACCCGCTCTGATACGAATTGTTAGTGCATTGAGGTGAGAGTAAAACTGCAGAAATAAAAAAGACACAAGTTTTCTCTTTTCGAATTCACTAGAATAAGAAAGTCTTACACCAATCTTTTATATTACAAGAATCCTTTAGGATTAGATCAATCCTAAGCTAAAACTCACCCTAGAGTCTAGACTTTTTTTATCAGGATCCCCCAAACCCCAAGCTAAACTCCCTCTGAATTTAGATTTCAATCTTTCAACACTCTGGAAGTGCGTCAATAACTACGTCAGCAACTAGCGTAGAACAGGAACACCAAAAGCTTGATCACATAAGCACAAATGATCTCTTGATTTTTGTTTTTCTACAGAGACACTTTTCTTCATAGAAACACGTCCTCTTTGTATAGATACCAGAACTTACTTCCCAAATTCTTCCAAAACAACTTGAGCAACATTCATTTTTCTCTTAAGGAATACTTCTCTTGCCATTTCCTCTTCAAGTAGTACATTTATCTTTAGTGTAAATATCCCAATAAATATATTGTTTCTTCTCCAAGCTTGACAAGTCCACAGACATCACAAACTATGACACACACATATACTACCTCATGTAGTACTTCACGAACTGATACAAAATATACATTTTCAGGATTTTGCAATTATAATGTGATAGCAAAATTTCAATTGTATTTTCAGAGCTTTGTTCATATTTCGATAATTTGCTGGCGTAGTGATCAATTTTGTTTGAAATGAATCTAATTAAATTAGTTTTCTTTTAACATCAGAATCTAATTAATTTAATTATATTCAAATATTTATGTGTCAATATATAGTACATATAATGTTATGATTTGGTCTAGTCGGTAGAGTATTGAGTAAACA